ATCCACACTTGCTCCCTTCATTCCCCAAACCAAATTTACCTACTTCACCCACCAAACATTATGGTGCCATTATTCGTCATTGTTGTCACCACCACCACCATCACCGCCACCACCATTATTTCAAACACTATTAATATGTGATTCAAATTTCGTTGGAAGTTCATGAATTGGTTGAAAGAGGTGTCAAGATGTCAAAATATGGTATAAGAGGTTTCAGGGGAGAGATTGGCGCCCACTTAATCCATGCACCTAGGCGTCATACGAGGTGTTTGGAATCAAGTTGGACTCGAAACGAGGCGCCTGAGAGCCATGCATGAAGCGTTCGCCGCTGCCGCTACTACTTGCCTATTGTTCGAGTGACACTCACAGCTTGCATAGCGCAAGGCCGCCACTCAAGTGGTAGTATTATCTGAAAAAACTTTCTTTCCATTTTCTGACACGATTTTTGATCATTTTTGCATCTAAAACATATTCTTTTGGGTCATATATATGGTCATCATGATTTAGGCTTTAAATAGCATTAGAATACAATTTAGAACACATGATTTATTGTATTATCTCACCTTATTAATAAAATTCTTATCATTTGCCCGCAGTGTTTTTCATGTTAATTCTTTATGTTCTTGTGTTGTAATTACTTTCTTCATACGGTCTTCAATTTGCTAACAAGTGCTATCAGAGTGAGGTTTGTTGGCAAGCATGAAGTATGATATTTTGCTTTTAAATTGCAACACTAGATTTTCGTTGTGGTTGGTGAAAATGTGAGCAGTGCTTACTCAGATGGATTTGGACGATATTTTGTCGAGATTTGACAAGATACCCGAAAATTGTTCATTGGAGGAGAAACAGCGTAATGATCGAAAGGTTCTATCACATATTTATTTTCATCTCTCGAATCATTTTTTTTAAAGTCTAACTAGCAAATTACATCACTTGAAGAACACCTTGCTGTCTTTAAAGAAATTGTCGCTAATTTGGAGACTTTGAAGGTTTAAGTACGTTGAAGAAGATTTGGGGTTGATTTTGTTATGTTATTGCATGTTTCATACATGTCGTTTAGGGACACAGTATTATTAATGAAGTATATGATGCTCTATTCTTAAATGAGATAATGAAGCATTTTGTTGGATCTGAAGCATAAGAAGAAGGCCTAGTTGTTAATGGTGGTTATGGGATGGGGAGATCAAAATCTAATTCTTGTGATAAAATTTATACATACTACAAGAATAAGAGACACATAAAGAAGAATTGCCGTAAGTTGCAGAATAAGAAAACAAATTAGCTGCAAATTAGAAGGGAAAACAATCGAAAACTTCAGGTGAAATCGATATTGTAGAAAATTGCTACGACGATGGAGATCTTTTAGTTTTTTATGGTGACTTCAAACCTGACGAGAATTGGATTCTTCATACAACTTGTACTTTTCATGTGTCTCAATCAGTATTTGTTTTCGACATATGAAGCAGATCCAAAAGGTATTGTGGTAATAGGTAAAATTGTACCTTGTAAAATAGTTGGTATTGGAAGAGTTAAAATTAAGACGTTTGATGGAATGGTTAGAACACTTGATAAGGTGAGACATGTTCCAGATTTGAAGAGAAAACTTATTTCCTTGAATACTCTTGATTCAGAAGGGTACAAGTACACTGGTGAAGGTGGCCTGAAAATTAATAAAAGTATACGTGTTGTGTTGCAGGGACATGGACGGTCTCAGTTGTATGTCTTGCATGGTTCTTAAGAATCATTGGAGACCAATTGGCAGAAATTAAAAACTTTGGTGGATATTCAGTTGGGTACAGTACAGTACCGTTGGAGTTTGATTTGTGGTCTATGTTGAAGAATATATTTCAGTCGAGTTCAGAAGTTATTGGTAATGCCACTTTATCGCCAACCTCAGCAATGCCATTGTATTCAATTGTTAGAGACAGACTCAAAAGAAATATTAGGCCTCTACAAAGGTAAGAGAAAGTTGATTTTTGTGGCTTATGCTTTAAATGTGGCTGAAGGTATTGAGTCTAATAAATAACCTTCGACAGAAGAAGTTTATTGTGTTGATTTTGTTACAAGGTATGTTTCTGCTCTGATTGGTAATTACTGTTGAGTTATTTGTGATTTTATTGCTCGTTGTGAAAATTCGAGCAATTTTGGTACCCGAGGTAATTCTACTGAGCGGTGCTTGGATTCAGTTGATTGTTTTTGTTCTAGTTGGATTTTGTGGAAAAGGAGTAGATTTTTGTTGGAATAAAGTTTTTGTTGAAGAGCCATTGATTTATTCATTACAGAGGAACTTGTCTTTAGGTGGAGAATATTTTAAGTTTTGTTCATTGTAGTGGAAATTGTATCAATGTGGAGATTTGTTAATATGCGTCTCAAATTCCGATAGATGTTCGTGGATTGGTTGAAACATGTGTTAAAGAGGTCAAAATATGGTTTGAAAGGTTTCGGGACAGAGATTTGGAGCTTGGGCACCCGAATTTGGTGCTATACAAGGTGTTTGAAATCGAGTTGGATTCAAAATGAAGAGCCTAAACTCCATACACGAAGTGCCTATGTGTTTCGTTGCCGCCTGCTCTTTTCATCTAAAACATGTTATTTTGGATCCTATATATAATCCACATGATTTTGGCTTTAAATAGCAATAGAATACAATTTAGAACATATAATTTATTGTATTCTCTCTTTTTATTAATGAAATTCTCCTCCTTTGTTCGTGGTGTTTTCCACATGATTTTTTTGTGTTCTTATGTTGTGATTGTTTTCTTCAGATCGCCATCAATTTTTGTCTTCAATTTGCTAACAAACATAAATTCAGATCTTAATTGAGGGAAAAAAAAACACATAAAGTTATAAGGTCTATCAATAAGAAAACTCTTATGTTTCATTAAAAATAGATTAATAGCAAAAAATCCCCTAAAATAGTAAAAATGTCAAATTTATCGTTAAAAATAGTAAAAATGTCAAAATTAAAAGGTAATAATTGCAATTTTAGTATCTAAACTTTTTATTCTTTTACAAATTATACCCAATTTTTTTTTATGTACCACCCACAATCTCAAACTTTTAAAACTTTGTTTTCCACCTTACCCCACTTCATATTCTCCCCGAAACTTTATTATTTTATTTAATCCATTTCAAAACCCTCCTAAATCCGTTTTAATTTTGACATTTTTACTATTTTAACGACAAATTTGACAGTACGGGGGGTTTTTCGCACAAAATGTTTCAAATATGGGGGTTTTATGCGATTTTCAATAGGTAGTGAGTATATCGCAAAATGAAAACGTTTATAAGGGGATTTTCTGTTGTGAATCCTTAAAAATTTACAAAGTTTCTTTTTCATGTCCTTTTATGTTTCCTTTCTTTCCTTTTGTTCTTTCATTTAAAAAAAAAAATTGAACTAAGGGTACGACAATCATTTTATTCAAATTGACTTTTTAATGGTTGAATGGACACTTTCATTTATCTTATAAAGTTTGGTGACGATGATGATATTGAGTGAAAAGTTCGATGGCCAAAATAAATTTTGATGGCGACATTGAATAAAAAATACGATGACCATGACTAAAATCAAGCCCCTTCAGCCGGGGTAAGAATCATCTAATCCCCAATCTTGCAATAAAAGAAGACAGTCATTTCTTTTGTTTTCTTCAGTTTTAGTCAATTCAAAGTAAATGAATAATAGTCGTCTTCGGGAAAAAAATAAAAAAAAAATAGCGTTTAACTGCTAAATTGACTCGTTAAAAATATTACATCATCAGAAACTTAAGCTCTGTTTCGTAAATTAAAATATTAATATTCTAATGCTTAAAGATCGAGAACTTTAAGATGCGTTTAATTGTATGTATTTTTCATAAAAAATGTATTTTTTTCATCTAATTACATACTTTTGTATTGTTTGACTGATAATTTTTTTTAGGAAAATTTTTATTACATTTGGTTAGGTCACCCATATTTTCTTTAAAAATAAGAAAAATATATTTTTTACACAGACGTGATTTTTATTTTCAAAGTAATTCAATATCTCTCTATCTCATATCTACTCCCCAATAAGAAATGAACTATCTAATATTTTTTAAACACGAAAAAATTCAAACTACCAAAAAAGCCGCACACTGGGCGCGGAGCCGTTGACATCAGTTGCCGAGTCAAGAAATGGTCTCCAAAGACTATGCCATGTGTTGAATCATCATTGGCTTTACAAGAAAAGCGTCGCCTCCTATCCTATGATACTCCTCCAACTCATAAATAATAATTTGACTTTTTTCTCTCTCTTTAATTTCTCCGTTGTAGGAATTTTTATTTTCCATCTTACAATTTGCAAAGATTTCAAAATTCGATCATCGCAACTGAAAGGTAAAAACCCTAATCTCTTTTATAAAAGGGAGTTTTTGGAAAATTGATCGTTGAGATTTTTATTTAAATTGAAGAACTTTTCTTAATAAGGTACAAAATGGGTAGGAGATTTTACAATTTGAATTCTTCAAGTTCCTCTGTTACCTTATAATTATTTGATTTTTCAAGAGATCACGAGATTTAGCGAGGTTATCTGATTGGGTTTCTGGGATTTTTTTTTATCAATATTCTACCGAAATTTGGAATTGCTTTTGCGACTGTAAGAATTTTGATATATACTGCAAAAACTTGAATTTCTTATATTAATTTTCTACGGATTTTTGATCTTTTTTAAGAGATGTCCGTTAATTTTACTTGTTAAGAATTTTGTTACAGTTTGTGTCATTACCTCGTGTTGAGTTACAATAATATATAATCAAGAAAGAATTCCCATGAATTTTTTTGACTTTAAGCTTATTTTTTCTAGAGAGGAGTATCTGGTATTATCTTGAATTATTGACTTTTGAAATAGAATGCTCATAGATGAGATTGACTTATGTTAATGATTATTATCCTTACTTGCTGTTTTCTTTGCATTTCAATACCGGAATGGATTGAGTAGATTTTTTTTTTTTTTGATTTGAAATAAGTATCTGGTGTCACTTCAAATGCCATCAGCTGTTTCTCCCCCGTGGCAAGAGAAGGCTAGTGATTTCTTTCAATCCTCAGGTAATTTCTAGTCAATTCTACATTTTGTCGAGTGGTCATCATCTGTGTTTTTTCTTTTTAAGCGCTGGTAGTGTAGATTAATGCCCTACTACTAGTGCACAGGGGTGAAGCTTAAAGAAGCAGGGGAATCTGCTGGAACTTTTGTGGGGGAGGTTGCGAAGGATGCAAAAGGAAATGTTGCCGATGTGGCAGGGAAAGTTGGGTCAGTGGTCAAAAGCCGGTGGGTGCTTCTTCAACAGCCATCTACAAGACATGCCATGCAGGAAAGGCTTATTTCTGCAGCTGCAAGTACCAGCATGTTTTTACGGAGGGGTCTTTCAGAGACGAAAGAGAAGGTTGTATTCGGGAAGATAAAGGTTGAAGAGGTAATTCATGCGGAGAACTTGATATTGGAAGTCACTCAGAATGTATGTTAATAAATAGATAAAGTAGAAAATGAAAATGCACAAAAACTAGTGCAAGCACCAGAAACTGAATGAATTAAGTGAAGGACAAATTAGATGTTTGAGGCATGTTCTGCGTAAACCTAAAGAAGGTCCAAACCATAAAAAAATGATGTTGCTCAGTGGTATGTGTTAGAAGATGGAATTATGAACCAAAAGTAAACTACCCAATGTGGTTGAAAAAGATTTGATTGTGTTAGACATTTTGGAAGAAATAACTCTACGTGAGCACGACGGTGAAAAACGATGTCGACCCCAAGTTTATATGTAGTAAGGCTTAGCTTCTTCTTGTTTTTATGACTCAGAAAAGAAGAAAGGAAGTCGAAAAGAACAAGAAATAAATAAAAGAAGAATTTAGGTCGATCCAATTGTATCCCTTTTTGTTCCGTAATTAGATTGGGTATATGAATTTGTTGCTTTTACGTAAAAAGCCTGTTGAATCATTTAGTTGTTTTCGTTAAAGGGTTTTCTGACTGCACAGGATTATGGTGGATAGAAACTTATAAGTCTGTTCTATACATTTGATATCCTTTTGGCTTTTTGAACAAGATCCCTTGACCTTTAACTGAGGTTAGGTGCTCTAATCTGTATATTTGAGAAAAATTAGCAAATGCCATGAAATTGGCGTCATCCTTGACCTGCTTTCTTTACACAGGTATACATGACATTAGCCATCTTGTTCTGTTTTACATCGTTTAGCCACTTGTATTCCATCCTATACTTATTTGGCTGTCATGTGACTCAGATTTACTCTTGAGATACTTGATAAGAGAAACTTACTATTCAGTTCACAAACTGTAACTAAATTTGGAACTGATGTTATGTTTAGTAATTATATGGAGAAACAATGCCAGTTTCCATATTAATTATAAATTTGTATGATAACAAGGTATTATCAGAAATTTGTATCTCATAGATTTTTTAGGATCCAGATAAGATTTGATATATATATATTTACAGTTTTAGATAATAAAAGGTGCTTGTGGTTAGATTGGATATCCATGGCAGAGGAACATAGCTGCCACCATCATTGTTCTGTAGCACTTCTCTATTGCTTTGGACACATGATTAAAGTATGCAGAATTGTGCTTCATACTAGACGAAGATAAGCCTTTTTACTTTAAAGTGATGGTGTATTCATGATATAATTGTCGTACAGGTAGCCAAGAAGACTGCACAAAAAAGCAAGATTCTCCTGACTGATATTGAGCGATGGCAAAAAGTATGTGCTTCTTAAAAAAAATTCTCTCTTTTTCCATTTACGTTGCTGGAAATTGAAGGTTTCCAATTCTCCTTTCTGCAGGGAGTTGCAAGCACTGATGGTAGGTCTTTTCCTACTTTGATCGTCTTGTTAACTAAGATCCCAGTCCAAAATTTCAGTTGGAGTCAGTTTTTCGTTTGGGTGTTTTTTTATCATCACTAGCTTCAGTCAAAAGTAAAAGTAGTTTCACCAATTTTGGTGTACAACTTCAACACTTGTATCATATGTATATGTTCTTGCTGCTAGTCATGCCTTTTATTAACAGAATGCACCACCTAGCATTTTCTATATCTAACTAGACCAGAGTATCTGCAGTCTCGAAATATAATAGCTAAATACTTTAATAGACCGCCACATCTTTTGTTCACCTCAGTATTTGGAGTCCCAATTGAGATTACTGTCCAGCGCCAAGAGTCCACAAGGCCCGTTCCTTTTATATTGGTGAAGTGTGCTGATCATCTCGTATTAACAGGTGATACGATGTAAACAGAAAAATCATTTAATAGTAGAGGTTTACATCACCTAATACCAATTTTGGTGTTGAGGGTAAACTTAATGTTTTTTGTGGTTTAGGACTGAACTCACCAGAGTTGTTCAAGGCCCTTGGAGACAAAAAGGTGATTCGGCAGTTAGTTTCCTTGTACAATCAAGGTACTTGTATAAGAATTCAAGCTTATGTACACTAAAGCTATGTTTGGCATAGATTTTTTTAAATTCATTTTTCGGCAAAATCATTTCAACCACGCACTCTATTGAGCCCATGACTCCCCCCCCCCCCCCCCCCCCCCCCCCCCCCCCCCCCCCCCCCCCCC